AGTAGAACTATGCTCCATACAGTTTTCAGTGGCTGCCTTTTGGGAAGTAGATCACCAGGCCTTTCTTTGGAGGCAGCTCAGAAGAGTTTCAAACAACAAGCCTTTTGGTTAGTAAACCTTAACCATTTAGGTTGCTTCATAGGGGATTTATTGAGTAGACCTCACAGGAGTAGATAACCCATTACCAAAGCCAGACAGACCCACTGCCATCTAATTAATTCCGACTCATAGTGACCCTATGTAGGGTTTTTGAAGCTATATGGGAACAGACAGCCTCATCTTTCTCCCACAGAGCAGCTGGTGGGTTTGAACTGCCAAACTTGCAGTCAGCAGCCCACGATGTCACAAGGGCACCTTAGTTGATACATTATAATTTTGTAAATTTAGTCTTTAAAAATTAAATTTATAACAAAAAGTATAAAGATATATATACAATAAATGTCTTAATTCCTTCCCATCTGCATGTATTGTCTACCCCAACAATTCCATGGGCAATCATTATTAATGAAGTTTTTGATATCATTATATATGGAGTAAAAAACTCTTGTAGCATAGTGGGTTGTTGAGTTGGGCTGCTAACCATAAGTTCAGAAGTTTGAAACAACCAGCCACTCCAAAAGAGAAAAATAAGATTTTCTGATCCCATAAAGATTTACAGCCTCAGAAACCCAATATAGGGTCACCATTACTCATAGAAGCCACCATATATAGACTTTCTCCTAAAAAGCATAGTAGAATTTGGTAAAGGTAATATTTATATTAGGAACTATCCCAACTGAATAATCCATGAGTGAACTTTCCATGTCAAAAACATTGGTTTAGACTGGGATTCAATTTGTTGTTATTTCTAAGTAGCGTAGTGGTTACGAATCGGGCTGCGAACCACAAGGTCAGCAGTTCGAAACTACCAGCTTTTCCGCGGAAGAAAGATGAGGCGTTCTGCTCCCGTAAAGATTTACAGCCTCGGAAACCCTGTGCAGGGTCACAATGAGTCGGAACCGACTCCACGGCACATAATAACAACAACAACAACTTAAATCTTAAGAAAATTTTTGAAAATTATTTTTACTAAGCTTTATGACCATTCCAGTATTTCTATTTCTACAATAATTTCCTTAAAATCTAAATGCATGTTTGAGTGAGACAGAAGGTATTTTAAAATATTCACTTTTATGTTTTTGTTGTTTTTTTAAATCCTAGATTGCAGAAGGCTTCCTATTTGTGGTTGGATGTGATAGAGGAAAAATTCTCTTTGTTTCTAAATCAGTCTCCAAGACACTTAATTATGATCAGGTATTCAAAATTGAGGACATTTCTTATACAATGTTGATAATATTTTGACCAAACACATTTTAAAGTGCTTTTCCAAGTTGTTTCTTCCCATTGAGATATAGGATTCTTCTAAGTTAAAGCTCCAAGAGAGGATGGAAAGAATATGGATTGTAATTATTGGAATTAGTGTTCACTTTCTGACCTTCAGCAAGTTACTTAATTTCACTGAACTTCTGTCTTCTTTTATTTAAAAATGGAAATTATGACTATGCCTGTCTCTCAGGATGTAAAGAGTAAATGTGATAACATATGAATACCCTAAAACTGTCAGGTACCTTTCTCTGTTTCCTCCAAGAGGTAACATTATTATTTTTATTTTTAAAACATTTGTTGAAAATATACACAGCAAAACTTACACCAATTCAATCATTTCTGCATGATTAAGTGACATTGATTACATTCATCAAGTTGTACAAGTGTTCTAATCCTGCTTTTCAGACTTGTTCCTCCGTTACTGACATAAAGTCACTGCCCCTAAACTTCATATCTAAACTTTCCAATTGCTATTGTAATTTGATCCCACATGTTGTTGGTGTTGTTGTTAGGTGCCATCGAGTCGGTACAGTCTCATGGCGATCTTATGCACAACAGAAGGAAATACTGCCCGATCCTGGGCCAACCTCACTATTGTTACCACACTTGAGTCCATTAATGTTGCCACTTTGCCAATCCATCTGGTCCCATATAGAGACTCTTAAAAGAGCATAATGCTCAAGGCAGACATTCCTTACTAACTAAAGCTGACCTGTTGTTTAAAGAAAACTTTGAGGAATGGAGTCCTGTTGTGGTGCTGTAAGACAAGCACTGGACTTGTAACCTCAAGTCGGTGGTTCAGACCCACCAGTTGTTCCATGGAAACCCTATATAAGGTCGCTATGAGTCGGAAGCAACTCAATGGCACTTAACAACAACAAAATTAAAAACTGTAGAATTTGGCAAATCTGATTGGCTGAAAGTTGGACTGACTTTGACTTTTGGGTGCCTCAGTCTTCCTTTGGGTCTATCTCATCAAACAACATAATGAAGATGTTTTAGAGCATAAAGAAAAAAAGAAATGGATTGGAATAAACGATTGTAATACTAATATAATATTTTCCATACAATGATTACAGTAGTTCTTTTGGATTCACTAGTTTTTTGATAGTAAATGAGAGAGGAAAGAGCTATATGTGAATACATACTGTCAACATTTATATGTTGTATCATTAAGTGAAAAAATTTAAATACTTCTGTATTCTTAAAACAAACAAGCAAAACTATAGAACTGAAACTAATCCAACAAAGGGAAGAAACTATCACCTGTGGTCTCATTTAATATAGAAGGCACATAGTAAGTACTACAGCTTTAATCTTTAATAACTCCCATTAACTATAATCTCTTTTTCCCATTAACTTCAAATTTGGGGACACTATTAGACCTTCTTAGATACTGAGTTAAATTAACAGCTGTATACAGAACAATTTAGAACCATAGGAATCTTGCAACAATTGAAGACACAGAAACAGTACAAGACCTGAAGATTCCATCTTCTAATTGGAAATACACAACATGACTTACACCATATACACACACTGAGATAACTGACAATTCAAAGTAATACTGAAGTTCCACATTAGTGACATGGAGTCCAATCCCACTGTGCACGGACTTTGTATTTCAGAGGCCATCTAAGAGACTCACTGACTACAGGAGGACATTGAGACTGTCATGATGTAGGGTCTGGTCCTCAGCTTTTTAGATTTAGAAACTTGATTTATTCTGAAGCATTGTTCCAGAGTTAGTTATACACCTGGCATAGACTTACATTAACCAAACACACAATAGACTGATACATGTATCATATTGATAGTCGTTAGGGTTTTTTATATATGAGATATCTAACTGCCATGCAATCCACATGACATGTATAAGAATGTCTACTTGGGTAATAAAATTGTTCACAAGAGAGATGAAAGCTGTAGGCCTGCACTCATGAAGTAGAATGTCTTGCTAAGCCTGTCAGAGGACAGGGAAAGCGATTTGGGGCCAAGGAGAAGTCCAAGGTATAAAAGGCAACTAGCTGGAGTGGTCAGGGAATTGATTTTGTGGAGAAAGGGTAGTGAATTTGAGGTGATGAGACCCTGTAAGCAAAGGCATAAACACAGGAGTGTTCTGCATAGTGCAGGGCCGAGGGAATGAGAAGTGTTAAGTGTTTCAGGTTAGATTTTGTTTTTAAAGTCATACCATAAAAGCACCGATGTTGACTGCTTCTGTATTGTACTGTATTATCTCTTCCTCTTTACCAAGGGTAAAAAAGTTAAAGGTAAATCTTCATATAATTTAGACATAAGATGGGATTTGGAGGATCCTTTTTATTAGACAAGAGTGAACAGAACATGAATGATTAGGTGTTTGTGCTGGTGTGTGTGCATCTGGTTTTGTGTTGTTGAAAGAAAACTATTGCTGTTCAATAAACTATTGAAATGCTAATAATGGTGGTTTGTTGGTTGGTTATGTGCCGTGGAGTCGGTTCTGACTCATAGCGGCCCTGTACAGGGTTTCTGAGGCTGTAAATCTTTACAGAAGCAGAAAGCCTCATCTTTCTCCTGCGGAGCAGCTGGTAGTTTTGAACTGCTGACCTTGAGGTTAGCTGCCCGATTCATAACCACTACACTAAGAGAGCTCCTAAGTGCCATTAAATCGGTCCTGACTCATAGCAATCCTGACTCATAGAAATCCTGGATTTCTGAGGGACAGCTGGTGGGTGTAAATCTCCAACCTTATAGTTAGCAGCCTAGTGCTGATCCTACAGCACCATACTAGGACTCCTGTGGTCATGTATTTCTGTTGTTGTTCTTAAGTGCCAGCGAGTCAGTTCTGACTCACAGCAACCCTATATAGGGTTTCTGAGGAACAGTTGGTGGGGTTTGAACTGCCGACCTTGTGGTTTGCAGTCCAGTGCTGATCCTACAGCACCACACCAGAAGTCCATGTATTTCTGTAGTCATGCATTTTTCCTGTCTGCAAATACCACCCTGCTTCAAGCATTAAGTTAATATTATACAGTATGATAGATGTATCTTTGAACTTAAGAAAAAGCAGCTTTTATAAAACAAAAAAGTACTTATATGTCTGGATACGAAAAATTATAGTACTAATTTAACATAAATATCTATCTATATCTCTTATGAATAGGCTAATTTGATTGGGAAAAGCTTCTTTGATTTCTTACACCCCAAAGATGTTGCCAAAGTAAAGGAACAGCTTTCTCCTTCTGATATTTCACCAAGAGAGACATTAGAAGATGCCAAAAGTAAGTGCTCATTTCAGCATACTTACTATTTTATGTAACTATTACTTAAAAGTAAAGCTACCTAGCACTTTTAATTATGGTTTTATTCAGAGGATAATTATTAGTAAACTTTACAATCCTCAATTTCAGAGTTAAAATATATCAGTATAGCTGTATAGAGAACTTCTACATTCCTATGCACATATAAGACCGTATAGTCATGTGAAGATGTGTTGATATGAGACATACAATTGATCAGATTTTCTGTTTTCCTATGTTAGTAAAATTTTTATAAGAAAGTAACTTATTTTAGTTAAAAATTGCTAGAGTTTTATATTAATTCTTTAGGTATGTTGTCATTGTTATTAAGTGTCGTCGAGTTGGTTCTAACCCATAGCGACCCTGTATAGGGTTTCTGAGGAGTGACTGGTGAGCTTGAACCACCTACCTTGTGATTCAAACCAACATTGCAGTCCAGTACATTAAGCCATTGAGATTATCTATCTACCTATTTATCTATCTATCCATCTATCTATCTATGTATATATAGGTATATATATATTCTTATATGGGTTAGGTTTGCTTAGTACACTTGTATACTTGTACTTGAAAAGTATATACTATTTCTTATCTTCTCTGAAAATGCAAAGTACCAAATAATTATTTATAATACAAACACATGAAGCTTTGTTCCATTGATGGTTTCTATATTTCAGATTTTTTTATCTTTTAATTTTTATTTCCTTTTTTTAGCTTATCTCTCTTATTATCTCTGGGGAAAATTATAAAAATTAAAGCCAATATGTGATTGCTTGAACAATACTTGTTATATGTATTTCATTTGGGGGGCTTATTGTACAATCATGTCATTGCTTTAAACAACCATTTCTTTTTTAAAAATCGATATAAAAATGTAATGTTGTCACTGTGTACTGATTCCTATTCATAGTGACCCTGGTAGAGCACTGGTTAAGCCCTTGGATGCTAACTGAAAGGTCGGTGGCTTGAACCACCAGTCACTCTGTAAGGAAAAAGATGTGGCAGTCAAGTTTCATAAAGACAGCCTTGGAAACCCTAAGGGGAAGTTCTGTTCCATCCTCTAGGGTCTTTATGAACAACAATTAATAGATAACTGAAAAACGTTCTAAGATCAATTTCACAATTACTTGAAAATATTCTTTTCTACCTATTGTCTTATTCCCTTCTGCCATGAAAGGTGGTTTGCAAATTCACAATGATTTCCACACTGGAAGGACTCACGTACACTCTGGATCAAGACGATCCTTTTTCTGTCGGATAAAGAGTTGTAAAGTCTTTGCCAAAGAAGAGCATGCGTGCCTACCCAATGCAAGGAAGAAAGGTATGATCACTTTGAATGTTAAATAATTTCCATGGATATAAAACTGATATTCTGAACATCTTTTATACAGAAAATTTAGAATGTATGGTTAAGGCATCCAAATAATTAAGGCCAAAAGCACCCAAGAGAATGAAATTGCTTTTTAACTAGAATTATTTAGATGGATTCATTCAGATCATATCATTTAAAATTATCAGGTAAGTTCACATTTTCCTTATTACCCAAGATTTTAATGAAGCAGTGCGTCTTTGACTTTCATCACTCTTCTGTCGTCTGACTGGGAGAGACCAGTAGTTGCACCTTATGTGGCTACTCACAGGCTTTTAAGACCCCAGTCACTACTCTCCAAGGTAAGATGAGGAGTCTTGGTGTGGCACTGCAGGGTAATGCACTGGACTGCAAGGTCGTTTTGAATTGCAAGGTCGGTGATTCAAACCCCCTCACTTGCTCCTCAGAGTCCCTACACAGGGTCGCTATGAGTTGGAACCAGTTCAACGGCACTTAACAACAACAACAAAAATAGGGGATAAAACATGTTCTTTTTGGATTATATAGTGCCAATTGACCTTGGTATCCCCTGAGACAATGGTCCTGAACTCATTTCCTCAAGGTGTTTGGTTATGCCTAAGAAGTTTTCATAACTTTGCCACCTGAGATTGCAAGTTAGATACTAGCAAATGGGAAAAATTGAGAAGAAATAGAAATAACACCATGATCAATTAAAAAATACAAAAGTTGAGACTTTGAAAAAAATGCAGTAGTACAAGAATCTGCCTTGAATAATTTTGGCAACGTGTCTTAAGCTATTATTTTAGATAATTTTAATTTTCATGACATTGCGGATATTTGGTATATTTTTTAGTTCTGTTTTCTTGTGATTCTTTTATAGATTTATTTTATAGATATTTACATTTTGAATTGATTCCGCATTCATCTATTAAACTTAATTGGAAGATTCCAGGTTCCTCAGAAGTCATTAAGCTATTGTATATAGAATTCCCTATATAAATTTCAACATGAAGTTTTTTTAATAAAATTTTTTCTCTTGTTGTTGAGACTATACACAGCAAAACATACTCTGATTCAACAATTTCTCCATTTATAGTTCAGTGATATTGTTTACATTCTTTGAGTTATCTAATCATTTTTGCCCTCCTTTTCCAGATTAGGAATTGAAGCTTAAAGAGGTTATGTAATTTGTGTAAAGTCATATAAAAATGGGCAGATTCAGGAATCTGATATTAAAATCTGTATTCTTTATACTTGGGTCCTGGTGTGGCACTATATGATGAGCACTGAACTGCTAACCACAAGTTTGGTGGTTCAAACCAACCAGTAGCTCCTGAAAAACTCTATATGCGGTTGCTATGAGTTGGAATCGATTCAATGGCACTTAACAACCATCTTTTCTACTAAGGAGCTTTCGTGGCTCAGTGGTTAAGTGCTCAGCTGCTAACCAAAAGGTTGGCAGTTTGAACCTACCTGGCACTTCATAGGAGAAAGATGTAACAGTTTGCTTCTGTAAAGATGACAGTGTTGGAAACCCTATGAGGCAGTTCTCCTCTGTTCATAGGGTTGCTGTGAGTCGGAATTGACACGATGGCAATGGCTTTTTAGTTTTATTCTTTCTATTTTGACATACAGCAGCTTCCTAGATGCTGAACATGATTAATTAATTAAAGAGATTGATTCTAGATGATTTCCATAACAGATATGTCTGCAAGGGAGCCGACTTGTGTTGTAGAAATATGTTCATGCCCACACATACAGGTAGGATCACTCCTACTTCAAGCTGGACCACACAGATGCCTGCAGTCAGCATCAGATACCTTCTCAAAAAGGAGTTTTTAATCTGCTCAAGTATTTGAACCGAGTATGAGTATTCATTTAATACTCCACAGCACTATGCCATAGGCATGAGACAGATTTGGTCTACAGAGTGATAAGGCCATGTGTTAACAATCAGTGTGACCCTGTCCAAACAGTGCCTGATTTCAGAACTGCATATGGACAGCTGGGCCATGATAAAGTAACTGCCAAACATAACCCTGGAGATTATTTTATATTGTACTTTAATTAAGGAGAATGTCTGTCAAGTAAAATGATTCTAATGTGCATGTAGTTGCTACTGAGTTGTTTTCTCCATTAATCATTAGCCAGTGGGATCCACTGTTTTTTTAAGACCATTTTCATTCATGATGAAAGTCTGTGGCAAGTAAAATTGTTTTGCTTCCATTTGCCACTTAATTTTAAAAGAAGAGAGACTGTAAAGTCATCCTTTTAAATGTTATTTGGAAACTGAATTTTAGATTTTTCTAAATACCATTTCTCAAGATTGTGCAGGAGTTGATAATGGCCAAAGTGGAATTCCCTCTGAGTTTTGTATATGTTTGAGATTTCTGATAATATGAAGGCTTAAAAAAAAAAACAACATTGGCATTAAAAAGTTATTCATATCCTGATCCTGACATTAATGCCATGGACAAAAAGTTTCTAAAGTTGGAATAGAATGAATCTGGTATCTTAACTTGTGGAATCAAAGACTAATGAGGGGGGTTGTTGTTGTTGTCAGGTGCCATCGAGTCGGAACCGACTCATAGCGACCCCATGCACAGCTGAACGAAACAATGTCTGATCCTGGGCCAACCTCACTACCGCTGCCACACTTGAGTCCATCAGTGATGCCACCTGGCCAATCCATCTCGTTAGGGGTCTTCCTCTTTTTCTCTGACCCTTCACCTTACCCAGCATGACATCCTTCTCCAGCAACTGATTCCTCTGGACAATATGTCCAAAGTATGAGAAACGAAGCTTAGCCATCCTGGCCTCCAAGGAGCACTCTGGCTGCACTTCTTCCAAAACAGATCTATTGGTTCTTTTGGCAGTCCATGGCACCCTCAGTATTCTCCTCCAACACCACAACTCAAAGGCATCAATTCTTCTACGATCTTCCTTATTCACTGTCCAGCTGCTGACATCTCTGCTCTTCAATACTTTAAAAAGTTCCTATGCAGTAGATTTGCCCAATGCAATACGTCGTCTGATCTCTTGACTGCTGCTTCCGCGAGTGTTGATAGTTGATCCAAGAAGAATGAAGTCCTTGACAACTTCAATCTTTTCTCCATTAATAAGAATGTTGTTTATTGGTCCAGTGGTGAGGATTTTTGTTTTCTTGACATTGAGATGTAATCCATATCGAAGGCTGTGCTCTTTGATCTTCATAAGTAAATGTTTCAAGTCCTCTTCACTTTCAGCAAGCAAGGTTGTATCATCGGCATATCGCAGGTTGTTAATGAGTCTTCCTCCAATCCTGACGCCACGTTTTTCTTCATAGAGAAATGAGGGGGGTAGATCAATGCTATCCAAAGTCTCAGGTTTTTCTTAAATTTATCTTGTAAGAAAATCTTTCGAACTACAGTAGTGCTACTCAGAATCCACATGCTTCTTTTGCAAATGCAACAGATGCTGGCAGAACCCAAGACAAATCCTCTCTGCACTTACCATCACAAATTACAGGGCACCCCACCTAGCGGCAGCGGAGGGGATCCTGTGACTCTGCTTGCCTGCTGTCTCTGGTGCTTGGAGTCAATTCCATGTACACTAGCTAGGGGCAGGCCTGAAGTGCTGGGGTTTATGCCCCTGGGAACATCCCAGTGATGGAAGGGAAAGGATAAATAAATATCCTAGCTCCCTTTTCTGTTGGCAGCATGACTTGGAGGCTCATCTATTTTCCTCTCAGGATACCCCAAATTTAGCTTTATTTTCCAAAATGACACCTTGCTTCGACACTTACCTATTATAAACTGCCTCCTTCTCAGATTCATTCCTGTCTTTCCGACCACTGTTCTCTGCCTTCACTTCTCATCTACTTTGCTTGTACTTGAAGCATTAAGGTCAACTTTTGCAAGAATTCAAACCAAGACAAGATACCATGTTGAGAGACCCAGCCTGCAACTTATTGAGGAAGATTTTCATAAAGAAGTCCTGTAAATTAAGGCAGTGGGTGATTTAGGCATTACTTTTCCTTTTTAAAATTATGGAGTCGGTTACACTTGATTCTACCTCATGCAGTTGATGTAAATAAATAGTTGGGCAAAAGTTGGGGCCCCATGACTTATAAGATCTAAAAATCTTGGGGATAAGAAATTTTTTATGGGATATTCCTTCCCCCCTTAACTTTAGGTAATTGATTGAATGAATTGCTGTGGATGGAATTACATAATCCTAACTAGAAATTTGCCAACTGAATAAATGTGCAAAGTGAGACTTGAGGGACATTAATTTGGAAACTTATTGTGGATCCCTTATGGTGATCCTATTGTAAAAGAAGACTCTGTGTGATACATTCCATTCATAAATACAAAACTTCTTTTTATATTCTCTGTTTATCCTATATTAAGTTGAATGGAATTTTTCAGTATCACTTGTAAATATGTAAGCATTTTCAGAAATTCTAAACTGTATAAATCTTTTTAGATTTGACTCCCATCTCGTTTTAATATGCATTTGTGCTTATCCCAATTTAATTTCTTTGAGATATAGAAAATCAGGGGTGAGATAAAAGCAGGGACATAGAATGATTCCCAAGTTTGGAGTGTTTTAAAGTTTATCTACCTACTTGAGTTGATTGCAGTGCCATTAAACAGCAAAGGCCACAGTGATTAAGATTTGGATTGGGACTGGAAGAGATTCTGAGTTTACTTCCTGGCATTTGTGGTTTAGGCATCTGTGGACCATGGAAATGGTGATGTCTGATAAATGTTACATATAAGACCTAAGCATGGCTTCCCAGACCTTAGCTATCTGTTTTCTGCTTTATTCTTCAGGCATTTCCTCCCCATAGTCTGTGCTTTAACAACATCTGACTGCTCTCTTGACTCTCATGTTGCATTGGCTGTGCCTTCTGAAGACTCCTCTGTCCCATTTGCTCTGTTACCCAGGCACCTCCTGTTGGAATACCTTCCATTGTTGAAGCACTAACTATCACCAACAAGCACAGCATTAGTGGTTAAGAAAGTGAGCCAGACTGTCTAGGTTTAAGCCCCAACTTCACTCTTCATCTACTATGATCTTAGTTTCCTAAGACAGTGGGGGATAATATTAGAACATTTCATAAGACTATTAAGATGAATAATACCTTTAAAGCATGTAGAACAGAATATGGCACGTGGTGTTCTATAAATCTTTGCTATTATTGTTATCTTACAAAGCAGCCTTTTTTTTAAAATCTTGGTGGTGGTATGTGCTGTGGAGTCAGTTCCAACTCACAGCAACTCTGCATAGAGTTTCTGAGGCTGTAAATGTTATGGGAGCAGAAAGCCTCATCTACTTCCCATGGAACAGCTGGTAGGTTCAAACTAATGACCTTGTGGTTAGCAGCCCGTCTTGTAGCCACTACGCTACCAAAACTTCTTTTTTCTTAGGATCATTTTTAAAGATTTATTTTAATAACTATCTTACCAAAAAAGCACTAATTTAAAACGATGACTGTTCTGGCTGGTTCTTTCTAAATCTTACCACAAACAATATTTTAATTAGTCTTAATCAGTTTTTTTTAAACTTTTAACATTTAAATGACTTTTTTATGTGGATTACCATAATCTGTAAATTACTCATCTTTAATACCTGTATTAGATCTTAATGTTTTCTTAATCATTTCCTAATATTTGAGGGTGTGGCTTATTTCCAACTTTTTATTATTCTGGTTAGACCAGTTGGACAAGCTTTTTTTCCTTTGGTGTTAAGTGCTTGTGATTTTTCTGAAAAGGGAGGATTTTTAGCCAAATTTTATTTTTATACCTTTTATGATGTTCCCCAAAATGTTTTCTAAAATATTTCGATAATCTATTATAACTACATATATACATAAGCTATTCTAAGTCCCAACATAAGAAATTTAAGAATGTGTCCATAATGATTTAAATAATCTTTCTAAATTTTAAATATAAATCATAATATACAAATGTTATAGCTATCTTTGTGATTAAGAGCAAGGGGCATGAAGTTTAACTTTTTCTAACAGATGTAAATTACTGTAGTTGAAAAGTTGACTAGGAAATATATTAATTTGTAGGCTAATTTTAAGCTAAATGAAAGCAATCTGTCAGCTTTTTGGTGTAGTGTATATAATTGAGTTCCTGGGGAAAATAACTCCTTTAGAGTAAAGTTTTAAAATAAATGAGACCAGTGATTTTTTTTTCAATGCAATATACTATTTCCTATTCACATTTTAGCATATTTGAATAGCATTTTATAACACAATTATAACTATTACAAATGTCAATGTAATAAATTTAAGAATTGATTCATAATGATTCAAATGCCCTTTTCTTTTTTTTTAACTCTTGAATTAGATCATAGGAAATTCTATACTATCCACTGCACTGGGTACTTGAGAAGCTGGCCTCCAAATATTGTTGGAATGGAAGAAGGAAAGGACAGTAAGAAAGACGGCAGTAATTTGACTTGCCTTGTTGCTATTGGAAGATTACATTCATATATTGTCCCAGAGAACAGTGGAGAGATTAAAGTCAAACCAGCTGAATTTGTAACACGGTTTGCAGTGAATGGAAAATTTGTCTTTGTAGATCAAAGGTAAACATTTACATGACATAATGCCTAGAGTCCAATGGGATCTTTAAGGCAGCAAAAAGCTGTGGCTTAGTAGCATGACTGGATTTTTTTTTTTTTTGAGTCTTTAAGACAGGAAGTAAAAGTTTAAATGAAATAAGGATATGCATATGTGAGTAAATTTGTTCAAAGCAAAAATGTAAACTTGTATAATATTTCTTAAGCAGTAGCACAAAAACTGGGCATGCTCTGTCTGTAGCCACAGTTGCATTCCTTGGGTTGAGTTTTTAGGCTCGCGCCTGGATATTCATTCTGTTTTACAGCCCCTATGTAGATCTAGGGCAGCTAAAGGGAACCAAAGGAACTCCAGTGATACATATCATACGGGTTACTCATCTCCCAGTCCCAACCACATATAAAAAAAAAACACTGCCTCCTAGTTGATTCCCACTCACAGTGGTCCTATCATCACAGTATTCTGAGAGAGAGTACGTGCACCAAATCTGATACTTATTTTCAATTTTAAAACCAGAGCAACAGCAATTTTGGGATATCTGCCTCAGGAACTTTTGGGAACTTCTTGTTATGAATATTTTCATCAAGATGACTGTAGCAATTTGACTGAGAAGCACAAAGCAGGTATGCACTGGGGAACTTTCTTTGGAAACTTTTAATTGCAGCTTCAACTCTTAATTTCCCAATTCTGTGAACTCCAAATCTTGAGTTAATCCTCAAGGGATTGATTTTTATGATGGTGAACTAAACAGTTATGCTGATTATTATCTTTTCTTATTAAGTTTTACAGAGTAAAGAGAAAATATTTACAGATTCCTACAAATTCAGAGCAAAAGATGGCTCATTTGTAACCTTAAAAAGCCAGTGGTTTAGTTTCACAAATCCTTGGACCAAAGAACTGGAATATATTGTATCTGTCAACACTCTAATTTTGTAAGTAATTTTCCTAATGTTGTTAATACCTATATGTTAATTTCAAATGAGTAATCTTTTCTTCTCTTTTCTCATCTTGTTAAACCATTAAACCTGTGCAATCCTGTGGACTTAGATTACTTGAGAGAACTATTTTGAGTAATTTATTTACTCAAATTCATTGGTAGTAGTTCTTAGACTTAAACTAAAGGTGACTTTATAGTCGCAGAATTAATGTGTGACAAGGCGCATAGACAGCCACGGAAACTCACCTGACCCACAGTGTCTAGACTTTTTATTGGGACTCAGAGTCAGTTTGAATCACAGGGGCAACAGTTAAGCTTACCATCCACTCCTCAGAAACCTTATACAGGGTTGCTATGAGTCAGAACCCAGTTGACAACACTTAACAAAAACATAGTCCTGGTGTGGTGTTGTAGGATAAACACGAGACTGCTAACCACAAAGTTGGCAGTTCAGATCTGCCAGTGAGGGGAAAAGATAAGGCTTTCTGCTCCCATAAAGATTTACAGACTCAGAAACCCTATGCAGGGTTGCTATGAGTCAGAATCGACTCAAAGGAAGTTAGATGGTCAGCGACCCATGAGCTAACCTCAGTCTCCAACCCCTCTAGACATTAAGCTGCTACCACATTATGACTCAGAATCCCTATCATAAATTACATTGTTAGACTTTCTGGCTGAAAAATCCCCATCTCTAAACAGACACTCTAAGGGTTGATACTCGGCGAGTTTAAAGATTACTTTCCAAAAGCTGATGGCAAAGGCCAGACCTCTTTTTGGATGATGTTAAATTGTTTACTACATAATGTAAAACAGATGATTTGTTCTTATTAAAAGAATGATCTAGATATGAGATGATGCTTGAACATTTCCTTTAGTTAATGATGCAGCTGCTCATTGGTGGTGGTAAGTGCCATCAAGTCGATTCCAACTCATAGCGACCCTGTTTAGGGTTTCTGAGGCTTTAAATCTTTGCGGGAGCAGAAAGCCTCATCTTTCTCCCAAGGAGTGACTGGTGGGCTTGAACAGCGACCTTGTGGTTCTCAATCCAGTGCTTATTGTATGGAGCCACGATGGTCCCCAGCTGCTCATTCTCTAATTGTTCAGGACCTAGCATGATGAATGGCATGTGACATTTTACATGCCTTGTATTTAAAAAAAATTTTTTTTTTTAATTACTGCATGAAAATAATTACTATATCCTTGGTATCTAGAGTTTTAGGGAGTTGCAAAATTAGCGGAATCTCTGTTACTAAAACATGATTAAATAGGTAAGGATGGCGGGAAGAATAAGTTTTTCAATTATTTTAACATCATCTATACTATAGTATTAAACTGAGCCTTTATGTTGACAGATACTATGTTAAGATTTTACAGTCATTATATCACTTAATTCTTTAAAAAAACATATCAAATATAAGTGGGTGGAGAATTGACAAATCAAATATACAGAACCTAATATAGTTGCTTTAATAATTTCCTTCACCTTAAAAGAACTACGCATATGGTGTTTCTCAATTCTAGAAGGCACCGTGAGAGTGGACAAGCATCAATGCTTCCTTGCACTTCTCAATCATCAGAAGGTAAGCTTAGTTGTAAGTGATGGAAGACTTATTACTCGTATATATGATTATGGAGGAATCATTATCATTAGGAGGTCGTTATCTTTTGCTCCCTCAGCAAGGGAAAGAATTTCAAGTTGAAATTGAAGAAAATTTCTCTGGAGTTCCCAACTTCAGTTAGAAGTGTAAGCGACTACTAAGTCCAGACAACTGCCAGAGGCATTCCATGTCTTCTTCATTACTCTCTAGCACTTAGTTCATGCTTGTTAAAATAGTACTTTGTTTGCAATTAATAAGGAACCTTGGTAGCACATTGGGTTAAGCATTGGGCTGCTACGGAAAGGTTGGCGGTTCTAATCCACTAGTAGCTCAGTAAAAGAAAGATGGTGCTGTCTGCTCCCATAAAGATTTACAGACCTAGAAACCCTATGAAACGGTTCTGCTCTGTCCTTTGGTCTCTATGAGTTGGAATTGACTTGATTGGGTGTTTCGGTTTTGTGATTAGTTGTTCATTTGACTGACTCTCCACTAACCATGAGTTCTTCAAGAGCAGGAGTGGTGTTTTATTCACTGTCTACCTCATTAGGCTAGCTCTTTATGCATTGTTGTTGTTGTTAAGTGCCATCGAGTCAGTTCTGACCCATAGCAACCCTGAACAGGGTTTCCAAGGCTGTAAACCTTTATGGGAGCAGAAAGCCTCATCTATCTCCCGCGGAGCAGCTGGTAATTTTGAACTGCTGACCTTGCAGTTCACAACCCGATTTGTAACCCCTACGCTACCAGAGCTCATTGTGGTACTCTATAAATACCTTCTGAACAAATTAATGCAAAACATTAAGGAGGACTTTTAGCTTTATCTGTTAATTTTTCATAAGAATTTATCAATATGTTACATGTCTAATTAAAATGAAAACATTAGGAAGTAGTATTACTGTAGCTTTAGTGTGGAGCAAAATATGGAAAGAGACTGTCTGTACTTACCTTCAAATGACTCTTCAGACATTTGAGTCTTATCACTTCATCAAAAGTGTCTTAGACCCACATGAGTTGCATATGTAACGCATGGATACCTGTTTTCTAACACTTTAGGATGGAGCACATCGGTTTTCTTAAAGGAAAATTAGAAAAGATATGGAATAAAGGTATACGCTTCAAACAAAATTCTCAATTGAAGTTTTCTTTCTGTTATTATTTAGAATCCTCTAGACAATCTTGTAGCAGTGTACCTGGAATATCTTCTGGAACAGTACTTGGTGCTGCTAGTATTGGAACAGATATTGTAAATGAAGTTCTGGATTTTAAAAGGTAATGTTTTATCAATCCAAATATTTATATAAGTAAAGCCTGGTGTGGTGCTGTAGGATCAGCACTGGACTGAGAACCACAAGGTCGGCCGTTCAAACCCACCAGCTGTTCCCTGAAAACTATATACAGGGTCACAATGAGTCGGAACCGACTTGACGTTGCTTAACAACAACAAAGCCTTTCTTATATTTACAAAACCAGTATACAAAAGCCATTTTCGTATATGCTAAAAAATCAGTTCATATAATGGAAAAGCATATCCCATTTATAGCAACAAAGAGAAAACATTTATAAATTTAACCAAAGCTATTCAGACCTATATTGTTTTAAAAAACAAACTTTAGAATGTTACAATGTTATAACAAAAATAACTTGACTATCTCTCCAGATATATAATTAGTTTTTCACTAGGAAGACCAGTATTGTAAGGATATCAGTGTCCCCCAAACTAACACAAGAATTTCATAAAAACCCAATCAAAATGCCACCATACATTTATTTTTTAGTCTGACAAAATGAATGTGGCACCAAACCACCTCTCCTACACAATTTCTACTCCTCAGCTGGGTGTGATCATTCACTGTAATGGCCACACAGAACTCAGACAGCATACTTACAGTTATGGGATATATTAGGGAGGTTAACAGGTTACAATTCAGGGTCAGAAATGCTCAGGGCACAATTTTTCCAGTCAGGACAGCCTTTGCTTAGCCATACCCACAGGCATGTCTCTCTCTGCCCAGGCACTGTTTACAAAGCTCTTTTAGGACTGCTCACAGAGCATACCACTTCACTGTAAACCTCAGCCTGAAGGAATTTAGCTCTAGTTCAGTGGGTCAGCAAACCTAATTCTCCCACTTAAGTACCTTGAGACACCTCATTCTGCAAGCCAGTCTCCTATCGTGAGTCACTCAGCTTTACTTGCTCCATGGATCAGGAAGACCACCACTATGTCTGGTGCTCTGCTTCTCTGTTGCTCCTGTTATCACAGCTTCCTATCCCTGGGTGGAGGAGATTCAATGCACAGGAATCTCAAAGTCTAAAGGATGTACTTCTGGCTCCTTTTTCTTTAATGGGAGTGAAATCCGCCTCTCCTACTTCTGAGGTGACTTATTTTATACCTCTTTTAGAATTACAAGGTTTTACAATAAACTTTGTTAACAATCACTCACAACAGAGTCATCAACATCTTCCCCCACCTTCGCTTACTCAGACCCATGAGGAAAAGAGTCATTTGGTGGGCGTTACAAAGACTAATGTTAGAAGGGCTATATTAAATAATTGACTACACTGCAGATAATCAGTCACATTAGACTATCCAAGAGAAGTCTAAAAAACAAAAGTACTGAAGTGAGACTAAGCCTGTCACATATTAAAATATGTTAGAAAGCTACAATCCCTAAGACATTTCAGTAAATACACAAATAAATTGATGAAAAAAATAGAATTAGAAAATAGACACACATACATATGAAAATGTATTATATAGGAAAAGTAGCATATTAAATCAATGGGAAGAAATGGATTGGCAGTACATGCTATTGTAATAACTATGACCATTTAGGGGAATAAGTAAAACTAGATCCCAGCCTTATTATTTTCTAAAACAGATTCCAGATAAGTAAAAGATTCCAAAGTAAAAAAAATGAAACTATAAAAATATTCAAAGACACAAATATGGATTTTTATAATGTGTATTTGAAAAGTCCTTTCTAAGCATCACATTTTTTCGTTAAGAAAAAAATCCTGACAAAAATTTAAAAATTAAGCATAAATGGAGTGGAGTGATTAACTTTTCAGTCTAGGAGCGGAGGTCCCTAGGACCATCAAGGGAGAAGAGCAGAGAGCGGGACCCTACCCAGAGAAGCAGTGATGCCTGAAATGGAGGCAGAGATGATGACGTGGAGCGATGGAGCAGCTGGAGACTTTAGATCCAGAGAGGGAGAGCGACTGTGTGCTGAAGACCTGGGGGGCACAGGGGAAGGATTGCATGGAGGGGATTGTAACCATGGCAATGAGATGATATATGATAGAATGAATGTAAAACTAATGTTCTCCCATATAAATGATCACATAATCCACAATAAAACATTTAAGAAAAAAAAAAATTAAGCATAAAACACAGCCATTATTAAAAAGGTAAAATAAATTATAAGAAGCAAAAATAGATAGACTTTATGATAAAAAATACTAATTATTTTAATATGTGAAGAATTGTATGAAGCAATTTTTAATTATGTAATTTTAAAAATTGGACAGTGGACATGAACAAAAAAATAGCCAAGAAACTTGAAAAATTGCCCCACTCTCATGGATAAAAAAATGCACACACATACACACACTCAGCAGTAATAAGATACTTTTTTTTCATTACTGTTAGAAGATTATCAGAGATTTGAAAGTTTGATAAGATTCATGTTGGGAGTGTGAGGAAACAGAAACCTAACTATAAATTAGTGGTAGTATAAATTAGTGTAACCAGTTTTGAGGGCAATTAGATAGTATCCATCAAAAATGTAAGTGTCTATAATCTTAGATTCGGAGTGTGCTGTGGTTTTGTGGTATAACCTACTGGACTGTGAACCACAAGGTCGGAAGCTCGAGTCCACCAGCCACTCCTCAGAAAAAGATGAGGCTTTGTGTTTCTGCAAAGGTTTACAGCCTCAGGCACTCTATACATATCACTGTGCGCCAGAATCGTCTCAATGGTACTTAACAACAACAGCAATCTTAGACTCAGTTATTTTAGCCCACAAGCAACTATTCTTATATAATTACGCAAAGATATAACTTCACTGCTGCACTGCTTATAGTAGTGATTTGAATATCTATCATAACTGGTTACAGAATATCCACACAGTAGAGTACGCTGTATCTGTTAAAAATGAGATAGCTCTATTTATGCTACCATGGAAAGATCATTAAAATATTTGGAAAATACAAAGAAGCACAGGAATAGAAAGAAAGAATAGTGTGTTGTTGTTGTTAGGTGCCATTGAGTCAGTTCCGACTCATAGCGACTCTATGCACAACAGAACGAAACACTGCCCAGTCCTGGGCCAACTTCAAAATTGTTGACACACCACTTCACCCATTGATGCTGCCGTTTTGCCAGTCCATCTCGCTGGGGGTCTTCCTCTTATTCTCTGGCACTCCACCTTACCAAACATGATATCCTTCTCCAGCGACTGGTCCCTCCTGACAACATGTCTGAAGTATGAGAGACAAAGTTTGGCATTCTTGGCCTCCAGGGAGCACTCTGGCTGCACTTCTTCCAA